GTTCGAGCGGTAACCCTAGCCAGCACCACCCCTTCCCAAATACCACCTATCCTTGTCGCCGCCAGCCGATAGCGAGGGGATTGCGCTGCATCATGTTCCTTCCTTCCTCATTGTTGTCGCTAATCGATCTGCCCTTGCCTCTACTCGCCAGAGCTATGTTGTGTTGGTCGCGCCCCTCCGCTCCTCATCGACGTCAGATCCGCTTCATTGATGTTGCTCGACCTTTGTCGCAGAGCCTACGTCCTATTGTCATGCGGTCCTTCTACCCTCTCCATAGAGAGAAATCCTGCTCTGAACCTGAATTCAGGACGACAGTACTTCCTTCCCCATTGGATTGGAGAACCTGTTGCAGAGGCGCCAATGACGGAGGCACTGCCGCGGATGTTGACGTTTTAGGCCGCGCAAACGGGAGTGGAGGTTGATGTAAAGATGGCAACATCAGTATCGAGAAGGATGGAGGTGAATGTGGCGTTGAAGGCGGCCAGTGCTGGAGGGTTCTCCCACTTGCATTCGTATCCACATCTTGATCTACAACTAGAAAGGAGCTCTTTTTTGCTTGGATCCATCCGGGACAAACTGACTTGGGCTTCAAATTATGTCCCCGGATTCAGGAACCTGCTAACCTTCGCCCTAAAATATTCGAGACTATTATGTGGATTATGAGAATTTAGAATGAGAGAATGCATTTTCTCCCTGAATTCAATAGGAAAAAAGAATCTAGGTGAACGAGGGGGCAGTGCTCTGTATGATCTGAAGATCTCCCATGATCAAGCTAAACGAACTAGAAAGACTGAGGACAGGGGAAAAGGAATAAGCTATAGGATGCTAGAATCTAATCTAAGAAAAGGGGGATAGGTTGGAGGCAGGGAGAGAGACGATTGTCGTCGAAACTACTGAAACAAAACAGAGAAACGAAGGATTCGGATGAAACTGAGAAAAATAGCAGAAGATGGTGGATATGGACGAGGGGACAGAGATGATGCACAACAGGGGAGGCAGCGGATGATGGACTACAAATGTGAATACCAAGATTGGGGAAAAACACCGATGCCCAACAAAGATTGGGGGCAAAAACAAAGTAGCGGAAGCAAGTCGAGACCATCCTAGAAGATTAGAAAGAAGGAGAGATGAGTTGAAGGGGTAAAACGGGGGAATGGGTAGATCAGGGAGAGGGTCGACTTGGCAAGGGCGATTTAGAGGGAGAAGAGACCAACATGATGCCGATCGCCGCAAGTCGCCACTTGGGCACTCTAGGCCTGTAGCACGCCGCCTAACTCTTGCGCCATGCATGTCGAGTTACCACTTCTACCATCCAACAGCTCACACAGGCGACCTAACTCCATCCACCGATGTTGCAAAGTTTGTGGAGACGTGGCATAACATGCCATAGGTAGAGCTACCGAGTAGGAACCAGACTTGCTCTAGCTCCAAGAGAAGATATCTTCCTGGCGGGTATTAACTCTGACCACTGACATCTCGTCCCACAGATTATTGTAGATTTGTAGTGGATCAGAACACACGTGCTTAGAGCGCCACCAATATCCATGGCCCAGCTATTATTGGGAAGCCCATCGGCCACAAGCTTTGTGTTGATCTTTTCTAGGCACCACTTTGATCCAACCAAGCGGGATGATTTCACATACCGTATATTCCGCTCCATCCACCTTTTGGAAAGAGGGTTTCGCGCCCATTGTGAATTTAAACCGTAACCAAAATGTGTAAGTTAGTATTGGCTTTATGGTCCGGATAAGCTCACGACCATGCCCCCGTTTTGTGGTGACCCCGTCAATCTAAATTGCTGTGTCAGCTCAACAACCTAGAGATGCTCATAAAAATCGAATGTACGTGCATGTCTACATTCATAGAAGTGAGTATGTGTTTGTACGTGAGCCTATGTGACATTGCGCACCACCCCGAAGCGCCAATACAGTCAGACATTTGGTTACCAGAAAGTTATCTAACATTTGCAGTGGAAAGACCTAGATTCATCCAACGGAGATCCACGGGAGCTTTAAAATAACCATCGCAGCTCATCTTCAGCCATCAACGGTGTCACGGTGACCCCATTCCTCTACCTCGAGCTCTGCCGCTGCGCCACGGATGCCGAGTGACGAGGCGGTGCATCGTCATCGCTCGACGATGAATAGTACGAAATATCTGAAAAACCAATCATCAACAAATAAAAATCAGTGTTGATGAATAAGAAAATATCTGGAAAACCCGTCAGCACCAAAAAAAAAATCTCGCCGTTGCGAGTTACGAGTACTAGTAGCAGCAGCTGACAAGGACCCAATTGCTGAGCTGAGCTCGCGCGGGCGGCCTAATTCCATCCACTGACACGCCCCGTACGTAACCACCGCTCAACCGCCCGCCACATACCCGCACTCCCACGGGCCCCGCTTTATCAGGACCCCGCGCCTACGTGTGGGTGGGTGTGGCACGCCGCCTACGGCATTCCGGCACGTGCCGGCCGCCCCCCGTTAACAAACCCCCGCCACCCGCGTCCGCTACCCCGTCGCTTGCACCGCGGGCCCGCCATAGACCACCGCGCGCGTCAGTGCCCTGGAAAATCGAAGCATCGGTGCGTGCCCCCGCGTGTACAAATACGAGCGCCCAGAAGACGACCGGAGGCCCCGGTGTCATAACCCGGGAGTGCGAAGAGGACTGGGTAGAAGGGAAGGGGAGCCTCCGAGGGTCTGGTCTTGTTGCCTACGGCGGTGCAAATCTGACGACCGCCCGCCGCCGGCGATGGGCTGCTGGTGGGAGCGCCTCGTGCTGCCGGTGCGCAGGGCGTGGCTCGGCGTCGCCTCCCGCTTCGGCGTGCGCCAGTCCGGTAAGGCCGCGCGCCGCTAGCTCGCCGTTTCCCGACGTGCTGCAGAGGCTTCCTAGGCTGACTCCGGCGTTGCTTTTTGGTTGCTTGTTGATTTGCAGGGCTGTGGAGGCTCCGGCAGGAGGTGAGCACGTGCGAGTACGAGGACGTGCGCGTGATGTGGGAGATGCTGAGCCGCACCGCGACGGCGCCGCCGCCGCCGGCGGCCAGGCGCCACAGCAGGTTCCGGCAGCCGAGGCCGTGGGCCGACAGGCTCCGCCTCTGCCGGGACATCTAGACCAGGACCGTCGACCGGGGGCCGCCGCGCGCTTGCTTGCTTGCGGCTTACTGCTTGGTCTTGGTGGCCTGGTTAATTAGCTTCTTGATCTGTATTGACCTCCCTTCCCTTCCATGGGTTCTCGATCTTTTTCCTCTGCTACCGCCGCTGTATGTATGCACGCTGCTTGGGGCTCTGAGGTGTACTCCATTCCTCCCCGTGTATCCGGTCGATCCGCTTGTAGATGGGTGATACCTCTGGGGTATGTGAATGAACAGAGCTGTTCCGTTCGAATACATCTTACACGACTCCTTTCTTCTTTGCCTGCAAACTTTGATCTACCACAAATATTTATGTTCTGCAGTCTGTTTGTTCATGCTTCAGATAGACAAACCAGCCTGTTTGTTCAGGCTTCAGATAGGCAAAACCTAGTATCAGCAGGGTGGTGCCCTCGAGTTCAGAGAACTCGTCAGGTTTGATGCTCCACCGGACTGGAATATCCTAGACCCAGTTGTTGGTTGGAAAGTTATTTCTGCCGACCTGCCAATTAATTAGCAGCACCAAGATTTGACGTCTCAGTCCTGACCCGTCCGTCTCAATACGAGCTCGATCCGCCGTGCTGTGGTTTTCATTGCCCATCATCAACGCCTCCGGTGATCCGATCACCACACCACACACGGACACTGTACCGGACGCAAAACAACCGATAATAATTGCCTCCAACCAATATCTACCTTGACAATCTCCCGTGAACCGCACTTCAACTAACCTAAGATGGCCACTAGGACTGTCGACCAAGCAATGTGAGTTAGCGTCTTTAAGCAGCAGTAGCTTAAGCCGTAAGTATTCCTCTAGAGAAATGGAAAAGGAAAAGGCGGGGCTTTCGGTCGACCGCTGGACTGACTTTTGAGGCGCCTTTGGCGTAGACAAAGTGGAGGTGGAGGAGGCCGTTCCTGCTTCTTGATGCTGAACCACCCTATCCGATCAGTGGCTTCTGTCGGTGCCGCGATCCTACGCGGATGCCGCTGCCACACGAGTTTCTGTCAGGTTGGGATAATGGCGTACTGTATTCTGTACGATTATTCGTCCGTGCGCACGGCGCGCCTTCGGACTAAATTAAATCTGCGTTGATATCAGCTGTCTTTCAATTGGGCCTTGTCGTGTGCTGCTAGGATTGTTGATGATTCGTTCTGAAAGAAAAGCATTAGATGATTGTTCGGTACATTGGATAATGGTTCCAGCTTCCTGCTGGAGACTAGCACGGCGTGAATTTGCCAGTAGCTCGTCGATATCATCTCAATATATAGCTTTGTCATGATACGAAAACAACAGATAAAAGGAAATCGGTGCAAGTGCAACTTGACACGATTTGCCCGATAATACTGTTCTTTTCCCAATATAAAAGGGCAAAAATGGACGCTATGACTGGGACGGCTTTATCTGTTTTCTTTTTTATTGCGGGGATGCTTTATTTGTTTCGAGGTTATCTTTTTGGTTGGAGAGAGCACTGGTACTGCTGACTGTTAGTGGCTGCTGCCGTAAAACAACAAAAGGCCACTCCATATATGCCTTTGAACTTGACAAGCCCTTTTGTTCTCTAGTACTGCTATATAAGAAATTCTAGTATTCATATTGTTAGAACATGTCATCATATCGTTGTAATCTCAACCTTCTCCTCTATCTCGTATTGTATCCAAACTCTTGTACTCATCCTTGTACGCCAAGGCAAGGCCTTCGGCCCCATCAATATAAACGCACGCGGCTCCCCTCGAAGGAGTAGGAACGCTTCATAATCTTACATGGTATCAGAGCCCCTCTTCCATACATCTAGCCACAAACCAGAAACAAAACCCTAGATCATATCCGCGATCGCCGTCATGGCTTCCTCAGCCGGCGTCGCCCTAAACCTTGGTTCGCCTCCGTTAGAAAAACTTGCGAGAGGGAACTTCATCATCTGGAAGACGCAGGTTCTCCCAGCCCTGCGAGGTGCGCAGGTTACTGGGCTTCTGGACAACTCCGACGCCGCTCCGCCCAAGACGGTGGAGGTCACAAAGGCGGACAAAACCACGACCCAAGAGCCGAACCCTCTGTATGGACCTTGGATCGCCAAAGATCAACAGGTTCTGTCATATCTACTCAACTCCATGTCTCCTGAGATCCTTGCGCAGGTCGTCAGGAAGGACTCCACCTTCGAGCTCTGGACAACAATCAACAACCTCTTCGCCTCACAATCGCAGTCTCGGATTACCAATCTGAGAATTGCGATCACCAACACCAAGAAAGACACCATGTCTAGTTCAGCATACATGGCGAAGATGAAGAGTCTCGGGGATGAACTAGCTGCTGCTGGCCGCCCCGTCTCTGATCCGGAGACAGTGGACTACATACTTGCAGGTCTGGACCGTGACTACGACTCCGTGGTGGTGGCGATCAGCGCTGTCAAGAATAGCATCACCGCCGATGATCTTTTTGCTCAGATCTATGCCTTTGATCAAAGAATGAGTTGGGCAACTCATCTTCAGGCGGGTTTCATACATCCGCTAATGCAGTCTACATAGGCCGTGGCTCGTCCCGCGGCAGATCCTATCGCGGGCGAGGAGGAAGGGGGCGCGGCCGTAGTGGTGACCGCGGTGACCGCCAGCCTTCTCCCTCTAATGGTGTAAGGTCATATTTATCCCTAAGTGTTTTGGTGATTGATGACAATGCATTTGCGGACTAATCGTGTGCCATGAGCTTTCCAGACTCTTCTCTGCTAGGCACAAGATGATTGGGTGCCCCTCGAAGACTGACGAAGACGGCGTCTTTTCTACGTTTCTTTTTGGTGGATTTGAGTCATAGGAAAGCCGTACTATTAAGAGGGGGTCCGCGTTAGAAAGGTTTCGGTGGAATCATCACGTACACGTCTCCTTTTATCCCCTCCTTCTTCCTTGGAGCTTCCTCCGTTTTCCTGCCATAGTTGACTGACTGCTTGTGTGGTTGCGGTAGTACCGCTCCAGGATTAACGGTAGTACCGTGGGCATCCACGGTAGTATCGTGCAGTGGCACGGTAGTACCGCTGGTGCTCACGGTAGTACCGCTCCCCCGGAGCCTTACTACCGCTGCCCCACCCGGCTAGTGCCGCCCGGTTGCGGTAGTAGGAGCGGATATAATTTTTTACATCCGCACCTGCCGCGGTAGTACCGCGCTAGGCGGTCAGGCAGTAGTACCGCCCCTCGACAGTACTACTGTGTCGAGTTTTTGCTACTTCGTTCTTTTGCGGAAGTATGCACGGAAGTTCCCCTCCCCCTATCGGGACTTTTTGCCTCACGGTAGTACCGCCCTGATGGCGCGGTAGTACCGCGCGGGCGGAAGTACCGCCCCAGCTTGCGTTCGTTTCCCTGGCTGGGGGTCGCGGCAGTACCGTAGGGTGGTACGGTAGTACCGCACTACCGTGCGGTAGTACCGCTTGGTTGCAAGCAGTACTACCGCGCGGCCTTGCGGTAGTACCGCTGGCCATGCGCGGTAGTACCGCTGGCCGCGGGCTGGTAGGTGGGTAACGGTTGGATCTTTTCCTCACACTATATAAAGGGTCTCCTTCTTCCCCGTTGACTCACCTCTTCCACCATTAAAGCTCCATTATTGCTCCAAACTCCATTTTCGCCCGATCTCACTCCCTAGCCAACCAAACTTGTTGATTTGCTCGGGAGTGGTTGAGAAGGCCCCGATCTACACTTCCAGCGAGAGATATTTGATTCCCCCTACTAATCCCTTGCGGATCTTGTTACTCTTGGGTGTTTGAGCATCCTAGACGGTTGAGGTCACCGCAAAGCCATAGTTCATTGTGGTGAAGCTTCGTGGTGTCGTTGGGAGCCTCCAATTGAGTTGTGGAGATTGCCCCAACCTCGTTTGTAAAGATTCGGTCGCCGCCTCCAAGGGCACCAATAGTGGAATCAAGGCATCTCGCATTGTGTGAGGGCGTGAGGAGATTACGGTGGCCCTAGTGGCTTCTTGGGGAGCATTGTGCCTCCACACCGCTCCAACGGAGACGTACTTCCTCTCAAAGGGAAGGAACTTCGGCAACACATCCTCGTCTCCACCGTCTCCACTTTTGGTTATCTCGTGCCTTTACTTGTGTAGCTTATTTGTTTCATATATCTTGCTTGCTTGTGTTCCTATTCGTGTTGCATCATATAGGTTGCTCATCTAGTTGCATGTCTAGACAACCTATTTTGATGCAAAGTTTAAATTGCTAAAGAAAAGCTAAAAATTGTTAGTTGCCTATTCACCCCCTCCCTCTAGTCAACCATATCGATCCTTTCAAATGGCGGCGGCGGCTTCAGAGGACGCCCTCGACAGCAGCAACAAAAGCAGGTGTGTGAGCAGCAACATGACTTCCCAGAGTGTCAGATATGTCTCAAGTATCATCCAAGGGGTGCACGTGTCTGCTGGTGGCGCTATGAAGAGAATGATCAAGAAGAAAAGGAGGCGCATGCAGTCTCCTATGGTGTTGACACAAATTGGTATGCCTACAGTGCATCAACAAATCACATCACGGGTGAACTTGACAAGTTGACGATGCGGGAGAAGTACAACGGAGGTGACCAAATTCGCACGGCAAGTGATTCTGGTATGAATATTACACATATTGGTAGTTCAATCGTTAAAAACCCCATGAAAAATTTGCACTTGGAAGATGTCTTGCTTGTTCCAGAAACTTCCAAAAATCTTGTTTCCGTCCATCGTTTCACTCTTGATAACAATGTTCTCATAAAATTCTATCCTTATTTTTTCTTGGTTAAGGACTTATCAACAAGGAGAATCATTCTTAGAGGACGATGCGTGGGAGGTCTCTACCCACTCATATCATCATCATCATCTTCATGCCCAGATAAATAAGCAAATATTGTCACCAAGCCTTCTTCATCAAGGTGGCACAGTCGTTTGGGTCATCCATCTTCAGTCATAGTTAAATATATTCTTAGCAAAAATGAACTCTCTTACGAGTCTAGTGTTGAGTCAGTTTGTGATCCGTGTCAACAAGC